ATCAAATGGCATGTTGATTGAAACAAATAATTAGCTAAAATGATTAGCTTTTTACACATCAGCACTTTGGGGGGCATTTTGGAGAAGATCAGAGAATTTTGGCATCTTTGGGTGTTTTCCTTCACCCTCATTTAAAAAAAAAATCTATTTGCATGTTTACTCCTTATTGGGTTTCAACCACTTGTGTCTGTCCCATGCTGTTCATGAGGGAGAAGAGTCGGGCACATTTGAAGTTCTGAGCTGTACAGTCACATGCAGGATGTGGGTGTGGACCTATGGGCGTGAAAAGCTATTCTGAATACATGTGTTGAGTGACAAAAGCACTGTACAAAAACTTTATGTAGGTCTTGTTCTTTTATTATTTTAGGTAGTAAACAAACAAACAAACAAACAAAAAGAATCTGAGATTTTTCAAATTTGTTTTCTATTTTTAAAAAATTTCCACTCCAACGATAGGCAATTATATCTGCTCGACTTGCTTGGCTATGTGTTCATAAATATTTAAATTTTCAGTTAGGTTGAACATGAGTGTCGCCACTCACCAGTTCACATTGCCAGGTTTTTGGTGTCATGAGAAATAAATGAGCATGGGGTTATTTCCATCCTTTGGCCAGTAAAAATAGTGTGTTGCAGACAAAATTAGAACAAGAAAACGGAACAATGTCTGAAAGAGGGACTGCATGCCTAAAGAAACATCATAGTTTGCAAAAATTGCCCCGCAGCATACTCATTTTACCAATTCATTTTCAGCCAAATTAGCTTTTGACTTGATGGGCTGCTGCTACCTTAATCAACCTTTCCCTGGGGCCTGTCTGGATGCCAAGAGTGACCGGGTGGTAGAGCCACATATCTGCCGACCCCGTCTCACAGATTAGGAAGCAGAGGCCTAGGGCAGGGACTGAGCCAAGGTTGTGCAGAGAATTAGACGCCCAGTGAGGACTTACTCCTGCAAGGGAGGGATGGGGGGCCGTCTTCATGGCAGTTCAGAACCAGTTAAAATTTGAATTTCAGAGAAACAATGGATCGTGTTTTAGTATAGGTATGTTACAGATATTGCAAATGTTGTTCCTTTTTAAAAAAATATATTTTATTGATTTTTCACAGAGAGGAAGAGAGAGGGATAGAGAGTTAGAAACATCGATGAGAGAGAATCATCAATCAGCTGCCTCTTGCACACCCCCTACTGGAGATGTGCCCGCAACCAAGGTACATGCCCTTGACTGGAATCAAACCTGGACCTTTCAGTCTGCAGGCTGACGCTCTATCCACTGAACCAAACCGGTTGTGGCAAATGCTGTTCCTTTGAAATTCAAATTTAGCAGAACGTCTATGTCATCTAATGGCCCTACTGAGCGTTTACCTGTGCAGATGGCCCCAGGGGTCTCCTCTCTGCTCTCCATCCTCCCACTGGCCCTGGAGATCCACCCAGGCTCTGCATCGACCCAACTCTGACCCAAACGCCCAACCTCGCAGCCCCTTTAGCTGCCTCTCCTCTCTCCACAGTTGATCTTCCTGTCTCCTTAGCCACCACGTCTTCAATGTTGTGGCCATTCTCCATCTCCAGCTCACCAAGGCTGGTCTCTTCTCACATCCAGCTCTGGGGCCACAGCCCCTTTGAGCTCCTGACAGCCTGTTGGCAGCCCAGTGTATGGGCGTCTATCTCCTCTTCACCTGCTCCTTCTCCGTCACCCTCGTGTCCCCAGAATCCTGCCCTTGTCTCTTGCCCTACTCCCTCCCGCTTCCTGGCAATCCCATCGACTCTCATGGTGAAGGCCCAGGCACTTATATCTCCTGTTCTCTTTCTCCAGCTGGAACCCTCTCCCAAGCTCAGGCCTACTGGATGCTCCAGGCCTCCAGGACCCTAAATTGGCTACTTTGCTCCTCTCTTTGCTTAGAACCCATCGATGGCTCCTCAGGCCCTTGGGATAAAACCTGATCCTGTATCCCGGCAGACAAAGTCCTTCATGGTCTGCCCCTGCTCGCTTCTCCAGCCCTCCCTCTGAAAGCCACTCACAGTTCCCAGGTTTTTCCACAATCCCATTGGGCTTCAAATGATCACCCTCATCCTACCCTCCCCCACTCACCTTGGTGGACTCAGCTCCCATGCCATCTCTTCTGGAAAATTCTTACCTCCCTCCAGGAGGCTGGCTTAGCTGCGGCCCGTACTCCCTCCGTCTTCTCACAGTGTATCCTAAACCATCTGCCAGTTATCTTATCTCTCCCCGGAGACAAACAGGACTGTGTCTTCTCCTCCTCTGGTCCCCAGCACCCAGCCCAGTAAATGAGCTTAACAGCGACTTCAACATGGATTTCACGTTCCTCTCTCACCAGCTGGATACCAATCTACTCCAACTTTGCCCAAGCTCTGACCTCATCCTAGACCTCAGCTCCACTTTTGGCCCTTACCTCACCCTCACCCCAAAAGCGCACACAAGAAAGGATTAAAGGCAGGTGTTCCCCATGTCCAGGGTACATTCTCCTGTCCCAGGAAGGACAGCATCCTTGAGCCCACTTGAGTCTGCAGAGGTGAGGAGCGGAGCCTGAGTGTGCGTGTGCGTGTGTGTGTGTGTGTGTGCGTGTGCGTGTGTGTGTGTGTGTGTGGTGTGTGGCAACGAAAGAGTTCATTCCTAAGGATGACTTCTGACTCAGAGTGCAGCAGCTGATCCCTGCCTCTCCCTGAAGCATGGCCTGCAGGACAAGTTGGGATGGGGACCTGAGCAGCCCAGGTTCCAGACCTGGCCTGGTCTACTGGCCCCCTCTAGAGGACAGTCCTATTCCAGCTCTTACACTGCCTCCCCACAAGGAGTTCCCGGACTTACTGTCTCCCACCTACCAGTCCACTTCACGGGTCTCCTTACAGTTTGCAGACCAGCAACCATTCCCTTTTGTCTCAGCACTGGGTCACCTGCTTAAATCCCGAATTGCCTCATCCTTGGAGGCCCAGCTGTGCCCCAGCTCCAGAAGTCCTCTCAGAAGGCAGCGCGTCCCCGCCTGGCGCCTGACCCCACCTTAGTCACAGAGCTCCTGCAGCCCTGGGTCGGAGCCAGGTGAGCTTTGGTTCCTCCACAGGGGCCTCACGTGCTACCCCCAAGGGAAGAGTTTTCGAGCACAGGGCCTAGGTGTCCCACCCCCTGCTCAGAGGGGGCTCCCAGAGGCTGAGCCCAGGCTGCTTCTCTCCCACTCCAGATTAGGGGCCCCAGAGGACCGGGCTTGGCTTTCTTCCTCCCCTCTCAGACTGGAGTTTTCCTGCAAATATGGCTCCTGTGTCCTCCTCCCCTTCAGACTGGGTAAGTCCAGGGCCTGAGTCTCTCCTTCCTCCTTCAGCATAGGGACTCCTGAGGACTGACCCAGGGTCTCCCCTGAACCTCTGTACCTGGCTGTTGATCTCCAGAACTTTCCAGTCCACCTTCTGCATGGCTCTCCCCACAGCCAGACACTCAGGAGCCTCTGGGGCCTCCCCGGGGCCTGGGGCCAGGGAGGGATTCCTCGGCTCTGGGCTGGACACTTGGCTTGGAGGACAGGTCCTTCCTCTGGGACCATGAGGCCCAGCGCCCACCCTCAGCTCCATCTCTGACCTCACAGGGCTGTCTCAGAACCTGGTTTCCATGGCACTGCTGGCAGGAGACGTGATGCTATTCTGGGCAGCTCATCTGGACTTGGCTCAAGTGGTCCGGGCCAAACCCCTGCTCCACTGACCTCTCCTCTGGAGGAGAAGAGCAGAGCAGAGCGGCCCTTGGAGCCGCCCCAAGAGGGCTGAGGGGCGGGCCCTGGACAGGGGACACAAGGACAGCAGAGCCCCAGCTGGCGGAGCAGCCAGGGCTTGGGACAGTCATGGAGAAAGAAGACTGAGACCTGCTGCAACCGAGAAGGCCCCAGAGTGGACGCCAAGAAACAAGGCATTTCAGCAGAGTGAGTCTGGCTCTCGGCAGGGCTGGGACAAGGGGAACTCCTCTGGGACCCAGGCCTGGGGATGCCACTCCCTGGGAACCATGTGGGGAAGAGGTGACCATGTGACCCTCTGGGGAAGAAACCCCCGATGAGAGGTGAAAGCCTGGATGTCTGTTCTGGTTTAGTCCTGAGTCGTTGCATGTTACTCTCTCTGGGCTTGTTTCCTCCCCATAAATGGAATGCTGGGAGGACCAGTGGTGGAGTAGATCAGGAGGATGTGTGGCGCTGGGCTGTCAGCAGGGTGAGGGGGTGGGACCAGGAGACAGTGGAGACCAGGACATTGGATTGAAGCAGGAGGGAGGAGGATCCGAGAGATGGGCTATTGCTGGCTTTGCTGGAGTGGTTTCTCCCCTTGGAGAGGCTGGGGCTGGGGCTAAAGCGGCTCTGCAATCAGGGCTAAGGTTGTGACTGTGTTGCAGCTAGAGGGCTAGAGAACGAGTGGGACACACAGGATGGGGAAACTCAAGAGTTACGTTGGTGCTGCCATTTGCAAGGAAAATGGGAATATAAGGAATGTCCAGGACTGGTGAGAAGGATAAACCTTGCTCTGAGGAAGGGGGGTATGGATCAAATAAATTTTGAGAACCTCATCCTGTGGGCATATGTGTGTGGAAGGAAGAGGCCCTGGAAAGTCACAGTTTAAGTCGGCAGCAAGAGGGCGTGAGGTTAGGCTCAAGGCAATAACAGCCGCGCATGTGAGGGTGGAGCCACTGCGGGGAGACTGTGGTCATCCCCGCTGTCCAAAGTGTGCACAGACATGGGAAGGTCAGAGGAACTCCGAAGGGCTTGGTCCAAGAGGTTAGGGTCCTGAGAACGGCATGGGGAGAGAGGGTAGGACTCCAGGGCCTCTTCCCATTGGCTGACGCACAGCATGCCTAGCGCATGCCTATACCCTGCCAGGTTGGCTGGGCTGAGGAGCTGGAACCAGAAGCAACTGGTCCTGTAGCTTCCCCTGGAGGCTGAGGTCTGAGGAGAATGTGGGACCGAGTTCTGCACCCCCAAGCCCTAGTGACCTCTCTTTGCTTTCACAGTTTCTAAACATCTCTGCCAGAATGACTCAAGTGGACGAAAAGAAGGGGTAAGCACCCACTCATTCCCCTATGCCAGCCCCCATCTCCCACCCCCAGCGCACCCAGTGCCCGCTCTGCCCCACTCTAAGCCTCTCCCTCATGCCAGCTGATGCTCTCAGTAGCTCATGGGGACCAGAGAAAGGGCCTCTCCCACCTGTGCCTCTAGCGAAGTACAGGCTGGGCTCTGGGGTGAGGGAGGCTCAGAAAGACCTGGGTTAAGGGCTGTGCCCCAGCTCCAGAAGGCAGCGGGTCCCCGCCTGGTGCCTGACCCCACCTTAGTCACAGAGCTCCTGCAGCCCTGCAGTCAGTGGTGATGCTCAAATGAATTAAACTCACTACTTCTCACCCTCTCAGGCTCAGGTTTTTTTTGGTGAAATAGAGGCCAAAGTCCTTGCAATGGCCAAAGCCCTATTGATCTAGTCTGTTTCCTCTCTGACCTCCCCTACCCCACCCCAACTCTGCCCACCCAGCCACACTGGAGCTTCCTTACCTCAGTCCTTTAGACTGTTCCTTTGCTTGAAATACTCTTCCCATAGTTAATTGTGTATTTGCTCAAATGCCACGTCTTATTTATTTATTTATTTATTTATTTATTTATTTATTTATTTAAAGGGGGGGGGGTGAGAGAGAATTGATTTGTTGTGCCACTTATTTATGCATCCATTGGTTAATTCTTGTCTGTGCCCTGACTGGGGCTCGAACTTGCAATCTTGGTGTATCAGGATGATGCTCTAACTCAGAGGTAGGGAACGTCCCGCCCTGGGCCATATAAGGCCTGTGAAATGATTGGGTCTGGCCCTGCCAAGGCTTTAGGGGTGAGTTAAATGTTTGACCAAATACAGCAGGCTAATTTTTAAGTTGACGATTTGCATGGCTCATGGATGATGTTATAAATATTCAAACGGCCTTTGGCAGGAAAAAGGTTCCCCCACTCCTGCGTCTAACCGAACTCTCTGGCCAGGGCTCCAATGCCACATTCTCAATGAGGTTCACTCTGACTGCTCTATTTAAAATCACACCCCACCTCCTTTCTCCGTAGGACATACTTCCTGCTCTATCCACCTCTCCTCTGCCCCTGTGGCACCTTCCCAGGACTGTTCTTGGGTCCCTGCTGCCTCAGGCTGCTCCTCGGCTCCTCCTGAGGGCTAAGGAGGCCAGGCATGGGGTCAGGGGGCCGTATGTGGTGGTGCATGGGAGCTGGGGTTGGATGGGAGCCAATGGATCATCCAGGCGCTCTATATCCCTCCCGTGCGCAGCCCTGGGTTTGTTTTCCTGGATAAGGACAGAGCAAGGACTGGGGTGGGTGAGCAATGAACATGGGGGCCCCTCCAGAAAAGTAAAAGAGGTGTATCCATGCCTGGTTCACATTTCTCACTCCCTCTGCTTACTCGGTGCTGCGGTGAGGCCGGGGAAATTTAGGAGGCCTGGGGTGGGTGGGGGTGATGTTGCTATCCAAGCAGGGCAAGGTAGTAAGTGCCTCGTGTCAGCTTCAGGCAGTCAATGGGGTGGGTCACCAGTCTTTTTTATTTTTTATCTTATTAAAATACATTTTATTGATTTTTTACAGAGAGGAAGAGAGAGAGGTAGAGAGCTAGAAACGTCGATGAGAGAGAAACATCAACCAGCTGCCTCTTGCACACCCCCTACCGGGGATGTGCCCGCAACCAAGGTACATACCCTTGACTGGAATCAAACCCGGGACTTTTCAGTCCGCAGACCGACGCTCTACCACTGAGCCAAACCGGCTTCGGCAAGAGTCACCAGTCTTAACACGCACCAAAGGCCACACTTAGAGTTACCTCTACTCCTCTTTCTCCTCTTTAGCCTCTGCACCCCATCTCCTCCCAACTCAAGCTCTATCCCTCCCCACCGCCAATAGACTAAAACTCACTTTTTCTTCTATCCATCCAATCATGAGTTTATTAAATAAATATTTATCAAGCATCGATCATGTGCCAGGCACCGCAGAAAGTTCTGGGGGTCTGATGGAAAACAGGACAGATGAATTCCCCGGTTTTTATTCATCCTACAAAATATATTGGAGCACCTATGCGTCTGGCACTGTGTTAGGCACTGAGACTACGCCAAGGAGTAAGATCCTCCTCTCCTCCCTCCTTTTCTCTCATTTACTCACTCACTCACTCAATAAAATTCTGTTGTGTTGGCCTGGTTTTGAGCGGGTGCGCTTTGCAGACCCCTCATCTTTGACAGAACCTGGTGCACATTGCAGGCCTCAGTGCTGTTTCCAGAGCCTGGGAGAGGCTTTGTCCCACCCTGTGCTGCCTGCAGAATGCCTTTCGGCTGTCAGGTCCTGCCTGATGTCTTGCTTGTGTCCTCAGATACCTGATTCCTGCAGACAGGCAGACAGATAGACAGACAACTGAGTTCCACCTTCCTCCCTGCTCTCTCCCACTTGCTTCTTGCCCAAGGCTCATGGGCACCACAGATTGCATTAATCTGATCCCCAACTGCCCCCTCTGCAAGTGGCCTTGTTGGTGGGGTCTTCCCACTGGTACAGTCCTCACCAGAAAGAAGAAGGCACATGACCCCAGCCCCTCTCCATGTCCCTGTGACACTCAGGTGTCTTTGACCCCAGCTGTCTCAGCAGCCCGGAGCAACAGGAGGTGTGTGTGGACAGGCCATCGGGTTACCCATTAACTCAGACATGAGTTAAAGGGCTGATGAGTAGGTAGCAAGTACACTGAGTCTCACTTTTGCTTATGGGTTTGGGTTGCTGCTTCAGGTCCACCTGCAGGAGCAGGATGATCCCGTCACCCGTGGTAATAAGGATACAAGCGATCCTGCAGAAGGAGATGGTGCGAGAGTTCCTGGCTGAGCTCATGAGCACGTTTGTCATGATGGTGAGTGGCATGATGGGGCTCTGAGGAAGGGGCAGGAACCTAAGACTTCACGAGGCTGGGGCCCCCCCTTCCCATTGCTGGCCTCCTGGGCCACATTGCCCATTCCCCGCCTCTGATCTGGGAGCCTGAGGGGGAAGCACAGGAAAGTAAGGAGAGAGCTCTGCCTTTCTCACCGTCTTTTGGGGGGAGAAAAGGCTCATACTTTGTGTAGACAGAACAAAGCCATGGGCTGGGAGTGTCAGGGGGCATGGCTGGAAATGGGGAGAAGGGGAACCAAGAAGAAAAAGATTGGGGAGAATGTTGAGTGTCGGGTTTTTTCTTTCTTTTTTTTTGTTTTTGTTTTTTTGTTAATACTCATCTGAGGATATTTTTTCCCATTGATTTTTAGAGAGAATGAGAGGAGGGAAGGAGGGGGAGAGTGAGAGAAACATCGATGTGAGTCATGTGGATTGGTAGCCTCCTGCACTCACCCTGACTAGGGCTGGGGATAGAACCTATTATCCAGCTATGTGCCCTTAACCAGGAATCGAACTTACGACCCTTCAGTGTGCAGACCAATGCGCTAACCAGGCCAGGGCAAGTGTCAGGTTTTGAGAATGAATACTGAGGGCAATGGGGAGACACTGAAGGTCTTCAAACAGGGGAATGATGCGGTCAGATTTGGATTTTTAGGACATTCTGGGGGTAGTGTGGAGTCTCAGCAGAATGGGCAAGGCTGAGTAAAGTGAGGGGAACCAGTTAAGAGACTGTTGCAAAGACCTAGGATAGCGAATGGCGAATGGCCCAGGGATAGAGAAGAAAGCACATGTTTGAGGCAGTCGTAGAAGATGGAATCAAGGAGGTTTCTTAAGCCATAGATGTGGGGTAAGGGGGCCATTCTGAGCCCTGGGCCCAGCACAGGGGCGAGAGGTCAAGTCAGTTAGGATATGATTAGGTGAGGTGCCTGGGAAGAAATCTAGCAGGTTTTGACTATAGTGGCCTGGAGCTCATGACAGAAGCTTGGGCTGGAAGTATGGAGTCAGAGTTCATCAGAATATGGATGGTGGTTAAAGATCTGTTCAGTGAGAGTGCATATGAAGAGACAATACGTTGAGGAGAGAGAATGAAGAGTGGCACACAAAGGGGCGTGGGAAGTATCGGCCAGAGGGGTGGAAGGAGAACGTGGGCGGTGGTGATGGAGTGTGGGGGGCCCACAGACAGAGAGGTGAGAACTGACCAGGGTCCATATGGTTTGACAACATGGAAGTCACTGGGGACCTGGCAAGGGCTCCTTTAGTGGGTGAGAGGACAGAGACGAGACCTCAGCCGGGAGGTGCTGTTTCTTGGAAACTCCCTTCTCCCCTGCTTCAGCTCTGCCACCTTCCCCAGCCAGCCTCTGCCCTAAGCTGTAGCCCTGCTTGTTTGCACCTTATGGAGGCCCCAGGTCCATGAAAATAAGGAGCAGCCTCTGGGAAGAAAAGTAAAGAAAGTCAGTCAGGAGCACCCCGAGGAAGTGGGGGGAAGAGAGGCAGTGTGTGTGAGACAGTGTGTGTGTGTGTGTGTGTATGCACGTGAATATGAGTATAACTGCGTGTGTGTGTGTGTGTGTGTGTGTGTGTATGTGTGTGTGTCTGTGTGTCTGTGTGCCCCAGGATAGGAGATGATGGGACTTATGGAGCCCAAGGGACTCTGGATGCCTGGGTCCTTAGCCTGATCCTGCCACTGAGATCTGCCTGGAGCAGATCTCTCTGTGCCTCGGAGTGTGCCTTCTCAGTCACAAAATGTGCTGGATGGGCCTTCGTGGGCTTTGGAGATGGGTTTGAATTCCGGCTCTGCTGCCTTCTCCCTGTGTGATCTTTCATACGTATCAACTGTCAACACTCCGGCTTCCTCATTAGTAAACATAACACTAACACCGAGCTGGCAGACTTGTGTGAGGAAGATCAAGAGCCCAACACCCAGTTCACATGTAGGCCCCCTGTGTTGGTGTCTGGTCCTTATGACAAGTGCTCTAAGCTGCTCTCTTCTCCCTGCCTTCCACGCCTCCCTCCCCCATTACTCACTCTCCTGCTTGGCTCCTGAGCTAGGAGGCTAGCACTGAGTTCTGTCCTGCCTTGATCCAGAGCAAAGTAATTCATTTATGACAAAACATTCCAGTCCCATGAGGGCTAGTAAACCTTGGAACCCTGGAGGCAGGAGGGTGCTTCCTTGGAAAGCTCTGAGGGAAAAAGGCACCACCCATTGGTGCCTGCCCATGTCTGCGTTTCTCTTCCTTGTATGGAGATTACTATTGAGCACCTATTGCATGCCAGGCAGATTCTAAACTCAGCCCCTTACATGCAATACCTTCCCAAATCCGAAAACAGAGTTTCCCCCTCTGAGAAATTGCCCCCATTTCTCAGAGGGGGAAACTGAGACTCCATGGACTGGTACTTGCCCCAAGTCACATTTTAAGGTAAGATATTAAATCCAGTCTAGTCTAGCATCATGGTCTTGACCCTTAACCTCTATGCTCTGTGTCTTAGTTTGGTGATGGCAGGATTTCTAACACCCTGGTTTGTTAGCTAGCCCCCGGCTGAGCCAAGGCCCTCACTTTCGGGCTCCAGATAGTCCAAGACCTCACCCTGAGCCTTGTTTTCCCCGCTGGAAGGTGGGAGCAGAAACATTTGCCGTTCAGAACTGCTGTGAGGATTAACAGAAGTAACACATGTAAAAGAACTTTGGGAGGTTTAAGGTCACCTCGGACATTGTGTGATTGTTATTTGTTGGGCCTGTGCCAATTTGATAGGAAGCTCAGTGAATCATCGGAGTAAAGGTTTCACCAGAAAAGCAAGTGTGACCTTGGGCTCCGTTTACTGCGGCCAGGAGGAGGGAAATGGGCTGTTCCCCTCAGTTCCTCTCTGCCATCTAGGAGCGTGTTGTCCTCGAGGCTGGCCTTCTGACTGTTGGAAGGACTTGGCCACATTCACTGACCAGGAAGGGAGGAGCTGGGCCATCAGGGATCTGAAAAACCAGCTGTAGAGGTGAACTGGACCAGAGGGCAGGGGCTGCAAACTTACTCACTCCAGGGGCCAGAGAGAGAGCAACCTAGAGTGGAGTGCCGACCTGTGCAAGGAGGCAGCTGCCACTGCTCCAGCTGACGGTTGCCATGCAGGGTGGATTGTGGGTTCGGATTACCTGGGCTTCTGATTCCTCAAGAGAAGCGGAAACTTCTGATGGTTAAAACTAAGTTAGCCAAACCGAGCACGGGTGCGGGATGGATTAGGCCCACGGGCTGCCACTTCGCAGCCATGACCCAGGAGACCAGGTGGAGTTTATTCGCTCATTCATTATTTTTAGCAAATTGTTCTGAGCTCCTGCTTGGAAATAAGGACCCTTGGTCTTCAGACCTGCCATGCCGGCTCCAATCCCTGCACTTTCTGACACCGCCTAAACCTGTCAGTCTGCTCTGACCTCACTCCCCACTCCTACGCCCCATCTGTTCCTGCCGTTTCCTGCCTCATCCTACCCTTAGCCCTAAGCTGGCCCACTTCTGGGCCCCTCTGCCCCTGTCCTAGGGCTCTCTTTTTATTTATTTTTTTAAAATCTTTTTAAAAAAATATATTTTTATTGATTTTGTACAGAGAGGAAGAGAGAGGGATAGAGAGCTAGAAACATCAATGAGAGAGAGTCACCGATCAGCTGCCTCTTGCACACCCCCTTCTGGGGATATGCCCTCAACCAAGGTACATGCCCTTGACTGGAATCGAATCCGGGACCTTTTAGTCCCCAAGCGGACGCTCTATCCATTGAGCCAAACCGGTTTCGGCTTTTTAAAATATACTTTTATTGATTTCAGAAAAGAAAGGAAGAAGGAAGAGAAAGATAAAAACATCAATGATGACAGAGAATCATTGATTGGCTGCCTCTGGCATGGCCCACAGTGGGGATCAAGTCCACAACCAAGGCCAGGAATTGAACCGTGACTTACTGATTCATAGGTCCACACTAAACCACTTAGCCATGCCGGTTGGACTACCTGTTTTTTTTTATTTTTTAAAATATATTTTTATTGATTTCAGAGAGGAAGGGAGAGGGAGAGAGAGAGAGAGAGAGAAACATCAATGATGAGAGAGAATCATTGATTGGCTGCCTCTTGCACTGGGGATCAAGCCCACAACCCGGGCATGTGCCCTTGACCAGAATCGAACCTGGGACCCTTCAGGCCACAGTTCGACACTCTATCCACTGACCCAAACCGGCTAGGGTGGACTGCCTGTTTTCTAAATCAGCAAATGGCTTGGCTTCCAGCTTTCTCCCCATTTCTTTTATTAAGGTATTATATGTGTACATATCTTATCATTCCCCCCACACACCCCCCCCGCACCAACTCCCGTACATGCCCTCCCTCCCCAGAGTTTTGCGTCCATTGGTTATGCTTATTTGCATGCATACAAGTCCTTCGGTTGATCTCTTATCTCCCCCATATCTCCCTCTCCTCCCCGCTGTAATTTGACAGTCTGTTTGTTGCTTTACTGTCTCTGTATCTATCTTTTTGTTCATCAGTTTATTATGTTTTTTATTATCCATAAATGAGTGAGGTCATGTGGTGTTTTTCTTTCGCTGACTGGCTTATTTCACTCAGCATAATTGGCCTCCAGCTTGAAAGAGAAAACCATCAGGCGGGCTTCTGTGTCTGGCTCCTTACCCACCTGTCCCTCTCTCCACCAGAACACACCTACCTGTGTATCCACATTTCTCCCCCTACCCTCAGGCAGGGCCCCTCCTTCAACCCTGTCAGTCCCCTCCCTCAGTCTACTGAGATACTTTACCCCGTCCTTCCTCTCTCCCCTTCATCTCCAGCCTTGCCCTCTCTGGGTCGTAACATACCAAAGCCTCTCTACTTAAAACTGCGCAACACAGAACAAAACACCCCTCCCTTCATCCCACAAGCCCTTCATTTATCACGTTCTCGCTCCCTTCCTTCTCAGGCAGGTTCCCAAAGGGCGGTCTAGCCTGGAGCCCTTCACCTCTTCCTCTCAGCCTACTCACCTCAGCCTCCAAGACCTGGCTCCTGTCCCCCTGGCCTGAGGATACAGTGCTCACCATGACCTCTGGCTTGTCCCATCCAAAGGGAGGCTTTCTAGGCCTTCATGCACTTGACCCAAAGGCCACACTGCTTCTCCCTGATGTCCAGGACACAGTTTCTCTTGGTTCTTCTCTCATGTCAACACCTGCTCCAGCGAGCACATCTAATGCCTTCCAGACTCAGCCCTCGGGTGCCTTCTCACTCTGCGTCCTCTCTTCTGCTTTCCTCCTCCCTGAAGCTTCAGAAATAGTCCTCATGTCCACCATTCTCCAAGTTATCTTTTTTGAAAACTCTAGAACTATCGAAGGGAAATACAATAGGAGCCATATATGTAATTTTAAATGTTTTAAAAAGGTAAAAAGTGAGCTGAAACCGGTTTGGCTCAGTGGATAGAGTGTCAGCCTGCGGACTGAAAGGTCCCGGGTTCGATTCCTGTCAAGGGCATGTACCTTGGTTGCGGGCACATCCCCAGTAGGGGGTGTGCAAGAGGCAGCTGATCGATGTTTCTAACTCTATCCCTCTCTCTTCCTCTCTGTAAAAAATCGATAAAATATATTTAAAAAAATAAAAAAATAAAAAATAAAAAGGTAAAAAGTGACAAGTGAAACAAATTTTAATAATTATTATATTTCACCCATAGAGCCAAAATATTACCAGTTCAACATGCAACCAATATACAATTATTAATGAGATTCTACATTCTCCTTTTCCTACCAAGTCTTTGATGAATTTGTACTTTGCCCTTACAGCAGATCTCAGCTGGGATGAGCCACATTCCAAGCACATAATAGCCACATGTGGCTGGTGGCCGCCACATTGGATGATACAAACCCAGACTCTGATTTCCAGCAAGTCTGGACACCCAGAGGTTGCTAGGAGTCAACATGTCCAAAACACATGGGCTTTTTAGAGGAGGTGCTGTGTGTGGCCTTAAAGCAGAATGCCATTTTGTCAGGATCTAGGATCAGGTATTCCAGACAGAGGGAATAGCATATGGAAAAACAGAAGCATGCAGGGAGCAGTGTGATTGGTTTCAGGCTGTCTGGCTTAGGTGACTGCCTGGGATTCAAATTCTGGCTATGTGCAGGATTGTATTTTGGCCAAGCCACTCAACGTCTCTAAGCCTTGGATTGCCCATCTGTCAAATGGGGAGATTAATAGTACCTAATGCATATGTTGGTGTTAAGGGTTAAAGGAAATGGAGATGTAACGTTTACCAGTGCCTGGCACATAGTAAATTTTCAATAAGTGGTTATTATTATTTAGTGGTAATATTACTGCTGAACATAGAGAATGTTGGAGCAGATATGAAACTGAGAGGCAGAAATTAAAGAGTCTTGAGTGGAGGCCTACTGAGCTTGGACTTTATCCTAGAAACGAAGGTGTGCCAGTGAATGTTTGAATGAGGGCTGGCACGATCAGAACTCTGTGTTAGAAAGGTCACTCTGGTGCGAGGAGGCTGAGGAAGATCTGGGAAGAATGTAAACATAACTGTTTGGGTGTGGGGGAGGGGGAGAGAAAGATTTCATTTGTGACATCCAAGTTTCTGGTTTGGCCAACTGAAATGGGGAACATAGGATGAGGATCACCTTTTCTGAGAAGGTGAGGTTTCAACAGAGAGTCCAAGATGCCTGGGAACAGTGGGTATTATTGGGAAATAGGGGTCTGGCTCCCAGGTGCAGGTTTTGGGGATTTTAGTGCAGTAGGCATAGCTGAAGCCATAGACCCGTTAAGAAGACTCAAGAAGAGTGACTGGGGCGAGACATGAACGGGGCCAGGGACGGAGGCCTGAGACCATCTACACTTATGAAGCAGATGAAGGAAAAAGGATGTGGGAAGGAACTGTTAGAGGAAGGTAGGAGGAAAACCATGAGGGAGACATGTCATGGAGGCTGAGAGGAGGGACTTTCCAGGAGCAATGTGGTTAAGAGAGTTGAAGTCAGCAGAGTCAGGTAAGACAATGTCTGAAGGGGCCTTTGGGGAAATCAGAGGGTTGGAGTTCTTGGTTAGATTTGGAAGCAAAAGCCAGATTGAGGAGGGAGAGCAAGGGAATAAAAGAGCCAGGCAGTGGGTTCTTTCCTGGAGCCTGACTGACAGGAGCGGGAGAGGTGTCCACAAGTGGACAGGAAGGCTGGGCTGAGGTGGGAAGGTTTGCTTTTAGGAAGGAAGAGACATGAGTCTGTGGGAGCCAGTCAAGGGGAGGGTGAAAGATACAGGCGAGAGGGAGGCCTCTGCAGAGGAAGGGAGAGGCTGGTGCAGGTATCAGAGCTGAAGAGCTAGGCAGCTATAGATTCAGATGGGTGGCTGTAGGAGGTGAGGGCCTAGCTCCAGGCCTCTATTCTCCTGCAAAGGGAGTCAGTGGGGGTGTCACCTGAGACCCAGCAATTAGGGATGGGTAAGAGCTAGAAGTTTAGGAATTACACATAAGGACAATAGAAATGTCCTAAGGGTTCGAGTTAGAACCCCACTGGCTTCCAGGGCTGGTGTGGGTGGGGGCCATGACAGACTCCAGGCATGAAGTTTGGAGATCCCTTGAAGAATCTTCCCTCAGGCTAGGCTGAAGTGTGAGATGGTCTGAGGGATTCAATCCACAGCAGCCAGGTCCTCTTCAGAGCCATTCCGTCCCTGAACTTCAGGTGGACTTGGGGTCTGGGAGTATGGATGTGTCCGTAAGAGCCTCTGACTCAGCTATCTCACATTGGCTGCTTTTACACTCCCCACTCAGCTCTCTGGTCAGGTCTTAGAGGCCCTGACGGGGACCATGGGAGAGGTCATGAGGAGGGAAGTCTCTGGAGGAAGAGGGCATGGCAGAGGGTCTTGCAGGGCGATTCGGGGAGGCCCAGGGCATAAGGGTGAGGAGCCCGAACTGAGCTCTGAGCCCTCCTCTGAGGCTGGGGCTTCTGGGAAGGCAGTCCCCTCAGAGGCCCTCCCTTGCAGGTGTTTGGCCTTGGCTCTGTGGCCCATATGGTTCTAGGAGAAAAATTTGGGAGCTTCCTCGCTGTCAACTTGGGTTTTGGCTTCGGAGTCGCCCTTGGAGTACATGTGGCAGGGAATATCTCTGGTGAGTGAGCCTGGGCCCCGCCCGACTGTCAAGGCCAGGAATCCCCTCCAGGTCCTTCCTGCCCACCTCCAGCCATCCCTTCTCCCAGTCATCCAGCACCTCACTCAACTGCCCACTTGGAGGGAGCATACCCCAAAACCCCCTTTCATACCCAGATCTTTCAAGGGCCTCCTTGACCCACCATTTTTACAAGCTGGGTCAACTTAGCCAAGCTATTTAAGTTCTTTACTCCTCACTTCCCTTAATGATCAAATGGAGATGGTGGTCTCTGCTTGGGTCCTTGTGCGAGTTAAGCGAGCGTGCACTGCATAAACGCTTGCCTCATTGTTATTGTTGGGGCTCTCCATATTGCTGCTGCTGTTGGGTCTGCTCTCACTCTCCCGACACACTTGCCCACCCTGCAGGGGCCCACATGAACGCAGCGGTGACCTTCACCAACTGTGCACTGGGCCGCTTGCCCTGGAAGAAGTTCCCTGTGTATGTACTGGGTCAGTTCGTGGGCTCCTTCTTGGCTGCTGCCAGCATCTATGTCATCTTCTACGGTGAGTGTCCTGTCCTGGGTTGTCCACTTCTGACCTCAGCCGCCTCCTCTGAAATATGGGCAGATCTGGTCTCAGCATCCTGGCCTGAGAGGCTCCCACCCCCTGCCTCCATCCTTATTTCTGGAACTGCAGTGGGATTGAATTAGGGGCAGTTTCACACTCTAATCTGTCTCCACAGCGGCCATTATGGACTTCTCGGGCGGACATCTGACAGTGACCGGCCCTATAGCCACTGCTAACATCTTTGCCACTTACCTTCCTGAGTACATGACGCTATGGATGGGCTTCCTGAATGAGGTCAGTGGTTCCAGGTGGTTGTCCCTCCATATGCCCTCCCCACCTCAGGAAGGGGCTGGCAGGCAGCCCCTGGCCATAGAGGGATAAGAACTCATGGAAACTGTACTCTGCCAGGGGGTTCAGCCTGGGAGCACTGCTGAGGCCCTGGGTTGGCGAGGGGACCCCGGGTGGCTGCTGTGACATCTGTTCCCCAGGTATTCATCACGGGGATGCTCCAGCTGTGTCTCTTTGCCATCACGGACAAACGTAACAACCCAGCCCTGCCAGGGACGCAGGCCCTGGTGATTGGCATCCTGGTCGTCATCATTGGAGTGTCTCTGGGCATGAACACGGGCTATGCCATCAACCCATCCCGGGACCTGCCTCCCCGCTTCTTCACCTTCATTGCCGGTTGGGGAGCAGAGGTCTTCAGGTAGCGCCCAGCCCAGCCCACTCCTTGGAGCTTTCTGTGGGTTTCCCGCACGTGGAGGGGCGGGGCGATATGAGGAACAGCACAGCAGAGTCCTGCAGAGCTTGCCAGGTGGTCTGGGGAGGCAGGAGTGGGTCCCGACCTCCCCTCTGATTAGCACGGATGCAGATCCTGCTTCTGGACTGAACGTAAATCCTGCCCCAGATCAGCCCCTGTCCCCGAATCAGGGTGAAGCTGACCAGTGTCTCAGGCTCAGGGGTGACTCCTGGGTTAGGATGGGGGTCACTCCTCTACCCTCAGGCCTACTTCCCAGTCTCGGCGTGAGGTGGATGCAGCTGCTGCCTCTGCTGTCAGCCCCCTCACCAGGCCTCTGCCTCTTGCCTGCAGGGTTAAGAACTGGTGGTGGGTGCCAGTGGTGGCACCACCCCTCGGTGCCTACTTGGGTGGCATCATCTACGTGGTCTTCATTGGCTCCACCATCCCACGGGAGCCCCAGATATTGGAGAATCCTGCGGAGCATGAAGACCACCAAGCACCTGTCCTGCCCAAGGCCATGTCTCACCGAACGGCGAACACTTCCCTTGCCTCTGTCTCTGTGTCCCTCGACAACAGAACTCCGGCCCAGCCTATCCCACTCTTAAGTGACAACATCCAAGTCCAGCAATTCTAAGATTATTTGTGACCCCACCCCCACCACAATAAAGCCCTGTCCCACAGTGGCCCTTTTGCTTCCTGGGTGCCTCACATGGTTAGGCTCCCCTCCTGGTTCTTCCGGGAACCCTAGAGTTGTACCATAGCCCAAAGCTAGTGAATGGGCCTAAGAGGCATCCAACTTCTTCCTGGGAGCTGGGGTGCCCCCTGGGGGGAGAATGGGGAAAGGCTATGGGAGGAACAGATCAAAAGATGCCAGGCACAGAACAATGGGCTTTGAGGCACAGGACAGGAAAGGGATGGCTTGGGGAAAGACCAACAGCTAGCTGGTGGGCGGTCAGTTCTGGGGATACCCTGAGCCGCTACCCTGAGCTGGGACAGACTCAAGACTCTCCCTCAGTTTTGCACCAGATAGACAAAGCCCAAGCGTGTAGGTCAGTTTCTCAACTTTTTTTTCTTTTTTACCTCAGAAGCCGTGTGTGTGTGTGTGTGTGTGTGTGTGTGTGTGTTTCTTTTTTTATTGAATTCTAGAGAGAGAAAGAAAAATATTGATGTGAGAGTGGAACATTGATTGGCTGCCTCCTGTACACCCCCTACCAGGGATTGAGTTCTGACCGGGAATTGAACTGGCAACCTTTGGGAACACAGGATGATGCCCAATCAACTGAGCCACATCCACCAGGGCTAGGCCCCTACCTCCCCCATTACATGATATTTTAATACCACAGCTACTAATATACTGTATTATCTGTTTGTGTATTTTATGTATACCTGTGCTTTATATACAAATAAACTTTTTCATTTACACCTTCCAATAATCAATTTTCTCTCTCTTGGGGGCAAAATTACCCCCCACCCTTGAAAAGGCTTGATGTGGATAGATGGAATGTATGTAAGGGATTAGACTTCTCTTCCTTAATCCTGGTGCCAGAGCTGTCCCACATTGAGAAACTCCAGAGCTAGAAAGGAAGACCCAGAGAGGCAAATCCTTTTAAAAGGTGTGGCGACAGGAAAAGGCCTCATGGAGTTCAAGGGGATAGGCCCAGAGGTTGGATGGAGGTAGGCAGCCAGGAGACACCAACTCTGAGGCTAGACAGGATTCACCCTACTTTCTGGGATTCAGACGGCAGCATTGTCCATGGTTCCTATCATGCTTGTGTGTATCCTTTCAGCAATTATTGAGCACCTCCTGTGTGCAGGCCTTGAGTGGAGAAGCTGGGTGTTTGCCTTTGAGAAACACAGTCTAATGGGAACAGGAGTCAAGAGCTAAGTGTTGGAGAGGGAGACTGTAGGGCTCACAGTCTGGTCTCAAAGCGAAGGCCAAGGATGGCTTCCCAGAGGAGACAGAGCAGAGTTGGGGTGGGGGTGGGGGTATGCTTTCTGGAGTTGGTTGCTGCACTTTACAGATCGAGGGGACAGAGGGCAGAGGAGGCTGGGCTTTCATCTGGACGTGGGGACATGGAGAGAGGAGATTTAGAAAGTCCTCCTGAGCTGCTGTGTGCAGGTTGGTGGAAAAGGGAGATATTTGGGCCTGCAAACAAGTATGGCGAGAGGCAATGATCGGAGAGGAGCAGCAGCACACCCAATAGGTCAGTGCTGGTGGGGTGGAGAGGAAAGAAGGGTTTTGCTCAATAACTAGGAAGTAAAACACTCAGGACTTGGGCTGGCATTGGATGAAGGAGTGGGTGAGGACAAGGCAGGAGTCAGGTCTGACTTTCAATTTCTGGCTTTGGGCCTGTGACACTGGGGATGTCTCCACTGAGAGCAGAGCATGGGAGGGGAATTGGTTTGGAAAGGAAGGTAAGTTATATGGTGGATGTGTTGAGCTTGAGTTGTCTATAGGAATTGAAGGGCAAGAGATGTGTAGTCTTGGGCAAGTTACTCAACCTCTTTGGGCCTCGTTTTTGTTGTTGTTGTTGTTGTTGTTTTTAATATTATTATTACCTACCATTTGTGTTGCTGAGGATAGTCAATGGAATAAAACATACACAATGCAGAGAATAGTGCTTGGCACATAATAAATGCTCAATAAACAATTATGTCTTTTGTATAGTCTGGAGTTCAGAAAAAGAGTTGAAGAAAGAGACTGAAAAAGCTGTAGGTGTGTGGACATAGCTGGGGCCATGGAAGAGTGAAAGGAGTGTCAGTGAGCAGGATCTTAGGAGCCCAGCCGGAGGGGGCTGTGAGGTGTGCAGAGGGCCCCTCAGGAGGTTTGGCTGAAAGGGGGCACAAAGTGGATGGTCAGGGGTCACTGGAAACAATCCAAATGTCCATCAACATGGGAACAGATACTTACATTGCAGTACAGTCACATACAACGGATCTGATACATAAATCAAAACTAAGGCACAATAGTTACCTGCAACAAGGTAAAATTTTGGAGGCATAAAAAGCAATGCAGTAGACTGTATACAGTGTGACACCAGTTAGACTGTTGACAAACATGCAAAAGTAACATATTCTTTGAGCAAACATATGATAAAATTACTTTAAAAAAAAAAAAAAAAGGATGATTCTTCCAGGGATATAGGGTTATAGAAATGGGAGATGAGATGGGGAGGAGCATAAGGTGGTGCAAGCTATTAATCATTTTCTAGTCTTAGAGTTGGGAAAAATTTATGGGTTACATGATTATGCTTTTTAATATATAACTATGTATGTACATAGGTTTCATATATTTTAAAAGATGACAAATGGCTATAGAATGAGAAGGTGGTGGGAAGAGTAGTGGTGCTGAGATTATAGGGAGCCCAGGGAGAAAGGAGAGAGGTACGTCTAACATCCGAGTGGAGCTTAACCAGGGAACAGGCCTGGGAGTAACTGGGAAGGACCCACAGCTAAAGTCCCAGCCAACTGCTTCCCCCTGTGACCCTGGATAAGCCTCTCTCTTGTCCTCTCTTAGCCTCCGAGGCTCTGTGAACACGAGGAGAGTGGTCGAATTCCTGGTGTTTCAGAGCAGCATAACCATAAGGCCTCGGTCACAGGTGGGAGGCATATATGGGTCCCAGGGACCTAGTTGCTGTCCTCCTCTGCCCCTCAGTGACTACTTCAGCCTCCTGGCACCTTCATGTCCCCGGGGAGGTGGCCTCAGAGCCAAGGCAGCCAGCGAGTCCCTCCCGAACCCCTGCCTACTGTCCACTGCTCTGCCACAGGCTGCTCTAGGCCTGTTGCCATAACATCCTGCAGATTCCGATCCCAACGTCAAGCTAGATGAGCCCGACCCATCACAGGGCATTTCAGTACAGAGCACAGACCCCTTTCATTCTCTTGGCAGATGTTGACTGAAAGCCTACAGCATGCCAGACGCCACTCCAGTGCTGAGGATACAGGCACAGAGGAGACACACAAAAGTCTTTGTTCTCATTGGTGCTGATATTCTGTGCAGAACATGTGCTGGAAGGAAAAGCAGGAAAGGGGGATAGGAAGTATGTGGGGGTGTAAAGACAGAGGCCTCACTGAGGTGACTCTGAGTGAAACCTGAAGGGGTGAGGAAGTGAGAGCCACATGGACACGGGAAGAGCACGCCAGGCTGAGGAAGGTCCAGTGCTAGGTTCTGAGGTGGGAACACAGAGGGGTCACTGCTGGAATGGGAGGGGGAGTGAAAGGTGATGAGGTCAAAGCGGGGTAGGATAAACTGAGGCGGGGCCTAGAGGAGAGAGGAGACCAAAGCTTGGGGTAGAGGCTGGCGAGGGAGGTCTCTGGAGGAGAGAGGCAGGTTTCACTGCAGGGAGGAAAAGAGGAAGGACAGGGCAGGAGAGAAAGCAGGAGGGGGCGGAGAGCACAGTTATTATGGTGCCTGTGGTTTCTTATCTCGGATCTCCTCTCTTATGCACGCACGTATGTCCACACACACACACACTCACGGGATCCTTCCTGTAACCACTCCGTGACGGGGCCCAGGAAATGTATCTGTGCAGCTCTGGGAGCCAGGCTAGGACATGAGCCATGGGAGTCCTGGCTCCATTCCCAGGCCCGGCATGGGCTGGATGTGTGACCTGGAAAGGACCCCCTCCCCTCTCTGGGCCTTGGTTTCTCTATCTGTACAATGAGGCCTCAATCTGTTGGTGTCTGGGGAGCCCCCCAGCGCTACCTTCTTCCAGAACTTGGAAGCCCAATGTTATGATACTACTTCCTTACCCACCCCAAGCCCTATCCCAGCTGAGGCTATCAATGGGGAGGAGGGGGGGGGTGCAGAAAGAACTACTTGCCTCAGGCTAGGCCTCTCCAGGGCATTGCAGATAAAGGCTTGGTCCCCAGCCTGGTGGTCCTGGCTTTGGGAAGAGCCTTTACTCCCTTGTCCAGCCTGTCCTCCCACTCCCACTCAGGGCCTCGAGGGGACAGGCACTCACGGGTAGCACCCTGGTCGGCTGGTCTGTCTCCTCCCTCGGTGGGGTTTTGCAGCCCTGGAAGGGGTGGGAGTAGCCATCTCAGGCCAGGCTGGGGTGCTAAAAACCACTTAGAGCTCAAATCTGACTGTGGCTCCTTACCCACCTCTCTGCTGACTCTGGAGTGAGAACAGCCATGACCCCAGACCTCTTGTGCACCACAGAGATCATACTTTGCACCTAAGAGCACAGAAAAAGGCCAGGACACCTGGATCAGAATACCAGCTCTGCTTCTCACTAGCTGTGTGATCTTAGGTAAGACAGGACAATTACAGTGCCCACCCCATAGGGCTGCTGGCATGATAAAATGAGCTATGCCTGGCATGTAGAGAGTGTGCTATTACTCTACATCTTCTCATGGATCTCATGCCATCATGCCCATCTTATATAAAAGGAAACTGAGGCCCAGGGAGATTGGCTCAGTAAGGGGTAGAGAGTAGAGATTTTAATCCTTATTGATATGATCTTGGCTGGTTGTTGTTTTTTTTTTTTTTTGTTTGTTTTTTTTTAAATCCTCATGTGAGGACATTTTCATTACTTTTTATAGAGAGAGGGAGAGAAAAAAAAAAAAAAAAACCACACCCATTAATGTGAGAAACACTGATCAGTAGCCTCCTGCATGCGCCCTGACCAG